AGATGTTGTTTATCTCTATGTGCCTGTTGATGGCTGCCTTGTCTGAATATCAAGCTTCCAAGAATTCCCTTGCATTTTTGGATTTAGCTTAGTCTAAGGTGATGACAGGAAACGTGAGTTTTTATTGAGGTGAACTTACACATATGAGGAGTCTAATCATATATTCTGAGTAAATACAGCTCAGAAGTCAGTGAACTGATATCAAAGAAAATACATCTTAGGGGAAATGTTCACATGCCTGGAATTCACACTAATCAGAGAGGTGTGATGACCTTAAGGGTTTTTTATGGGTGCTTCCAGAATCTAGCTGGCATCTAATTGTAATTCTTGGTGCTTCTGGCTCCTTTTTCTTAAGCCTTTTAATTAAGTTTGTTTTATTAGCTGTGTTCCCATGACACATTTATTTGTACTTAGTTAAACTATGATCTATTCGATTAACCATTTTTTTCTGGGTTCATATGACACATTAAAGAATAGACTAGTGAAATGGGCTGAGTTCATAGAACACATTAGGTTAAAATGTGGTTGGCTAGATTGTACTTAAGTATGTCATAGCCATCTCTATTCATCTGGTTCTCATTTAGTAAAAAAAAGTAAAGAGGAATGCTTGTCATTGCAATAATTAGTCAAAATGTTTACATACAAACACAAAATGGGTCCAAAACCATTTTGGACACTGATCCATTAGATCTCTTTGGTGCAATTTCTTATTTAGTTCATAGTAAAACAGTTTAATCCATACTGCTGGAATTTATGTAAGAGAAAGATAAATGAAATAACAGTCCACAATAGATACATCTATTGGTAGTTCACCCCACCCCCAATATAGAGGATAAGTCCCCACTCATCTCTAACCATGACACAAACATCAAAGACCATGACCACCTAGATGATTGCAGTGATAGAAACCAGACTCAGAAACAGCACTTTGGCAGACATGGATGTGCCAGCAATCACTGGGACTTACTAAGTATGCAGCATCACTTACTTATTATGTTTAG